TCGAGTTGTTTCGGTGCGAACGCAGAAGGTGGGGGACCTTGTCTTGGACGGTTGGCAATCCAAGTGAAATGGAGAAATGGGAGCGCTTCCTTCTAGTTGTTGCCTTGCGAGTAGGGGCACTTCTCCGAGAGGAAGATGCGGACGCAACAGAAGGAAAGAGGGCGAGATGACGAGGAGGGGTACGTCACTGCGATGGGGCAGCAGGACAGAGAGGATGTGCTGGCTCGCTGTGGTAGTTGAGCGGGCATAGTGTAGTATTGGTATACGAGTCCATAAGAGTTGTATCGGCAGGACTGAATACGGGTCGTTAGGTTAATTTCGACACACGAGGAGGCTAGAAACGCACGGTGGACGATGGACTGTTAACCTAAATCGCACCGCATCAAGAGCGCATACAACCCGCCCGACACCGTCTCTCTCGGTCGTTGAGGAAAAGGGATGCGTGCATGGGGTGGATGGGTGCGTCTGGAGCATCAGATCGAAGGCGGCTGTTCTGCGTTGAGGAGTGCGGTGAGAGCAAGACTAAGGACGCACTGACTTTACTCTTGTACGCTCTCCATCACTGTCATTTACTTTCTTGACTATAGCCTGTATCGCTGTTCGGATCTACAGGGCGTATTCCTTAGACGATATAGTTGGCTGTGGTCGTTGAACGCATCTTCGTTGGTTGACGTAGAAGTGTGGCTGGGTGCAGTAGTCCAGGAGAGCTGTGATGGGTTTGTGTTCGATCGAGTTGGTCATGATATGGACAGAGGTATGGGAAAGATATAGCCCTGACAATGTGACTGGGCTAGGTGCACACAGAAGGGTATAAGAGGGAAAGGGAGGGTAGAGTGATGACATATATCGCCATGGTCGAGGAAGACACGAGAGAGGTTAAGAAGCCAAGGACTGACAACTCCGCGGCGATAACCGGTGCACAGCCACTGCTTCCTATTCACAAGCGTGCGCATAGCCTACTCTGTTTTCCGTAGGTTTCTTGTTGACCAATTCTCAGCCATCACCATACTCGTCGCTTTCCTGTTCTCTGTTCGTACAGCAAGAGTTTTGGTGCTCTCCGAACGTACAATACCCGAATATGGCGTTGTACATCCCACGATACGGACCTCATGCTCCCTCTAACTGACTAACTGATCCGGAGGAGAGCTGGAAAGACTACAACAACAAGCGCACCCTCGCAGTGGGAACCTATACATCGGCTACATCCTTGAAGATCAGTGTATGTATGTATATGGCCGTTATCCCGCAGAGCAAACGGGAGGACCAGGTCTCCATCCTCGCCAAATGACTTGACTACTTGTATCCCACCAACTACCCTTGGGCGCCGGAGGACGCCCTCAGTCTTGCAGGCGTGTGTGTCACGGCTGTTGATGGCAGCGACGAGCGCTGAACGCTGCTTCTGCCTGACTGTAGGACAAGATTTGAGCAGTACAATTGAATATGAGAGATCGTCTGCAGGAAATGGCACTCTTAGGATCGGCTGTCGACGTCGCGTGAATGCGCGTCCTCATCGTTGCCTCCGACGTCTTCGTCGACGAGGTCCATAATATTCTGGTAAGAAAGACTCTACAACTTGTCCTCCTATTTCACTCATGTTTGAGGTCAGAAGGTGAAAGATGGCTGCAGATCGTGCCAAAGAGCGCTTGATGCTGCCAAATGCGCTACGAAAGAACGCCACATTCAGCGGGACACTCCCTCCCAAACAGCGATGAAGCCCCGACTTCCTGAGCCTGCGAGCTCGTTTTCCAGCTCTTGTCAGCGGCGTCATCATCGCTGATGTGCTGATACTATGGGAATCCCCTAAATCTTGTCTTCCGGCAACGTTCGTTCTATGCTCGCAAACAACCAAAATCTACACGGCAGAACTGGATTGGCGAACATTTGAATGTATGGTCGTGGATCCATCGTTCGTCGCTGATGTGGGTTCAAGGCGCACGGATATTTACCTCGATCCTCCAGCGTATCTGACTGCTTGCAGAGGAGATTAAAAACGGCGGCGGAACAAGCATAAGACTGGGCCGATATTTGCAGCACATCCGTTTGCATACAAGCGGGAGGATGGAATCAGCCATTATGGGAGGATGGAGAGTTTCCAGTGCTGAAAGGACGACCAGTCTTGCTTGATCGCATCGATGTACAATCATCTTGAGTGTCGTCACGAGTTCTCGAGATTTTCAGCCCTCTGCCTCCAGCGGTTGACGGCGGCCTCATTGTGCGGAACGAAAGCGGGCAACCGACTAGCGTTTTCGTGGATAATTGCAAGGCAGCTCATCGGTATGCCCTCTTCTTGCAAGAATTTGTCAACGTCTCTCGATTGTCATCCAGCTGCGAAGCGATCCCCTGACGGCGAGGCACACCTGTTCACGTACGATAAAACCGCCATGCGAGACGCTCTTGACCATGGCTTCACACATATCCAAGATGCGGCGACATATCCGAACTACGTCGATTTCTTCGCGAGGCGCGCTTCGTCCGCATTTCGATTAGCATTATCTCTGACGACGGATAAGGAGATGATTCCTGTCCGTGATATCAACGATGACGTCAGATACGCGTCGCTGTAATGGCCCATATTGACGGTGACGCGTATTGGGAAGGGAAGCTCTTCGGATCTGCCGATAACCGTCTTGACATAAGAAGCGACAAATTCTTCATGGACAGCACGCAAGTTCCTTCGGGCTTTTTTAAGTTTACATCTAACAGCCAAGTACGAGCTGTAGGATTGCTGGGGTGGTCATGTTAGAGCTGTTCTCAGGTCAGCAATGATGTGCACTTCCTGGACCAGAATTACATGATCATTAGACAAGCCGAACAAAAAATCCGCTGCTTTTGAGTACTCCAGAAGCAATGTCAACTCTCATCACGGGTTTCATCGAAGATGTGAGTCAAGATGAATGTAAATGTCCCTTGGTATTGACAAAAGTTTGATCGGTCTGGCAAGTAGTACGCGAACTCTGGAAAATCAAATTGGGTACTCACATCGATATCACTCGAAGAGTGTCCATTGTATAGAAGTGAGTTCACCTGAAGTTTTTAAGATCGTTTCTTACTTTTGCTACGTAGGATCGAGCAAACAACGCCGCACCCAATGCTTTTGAGAGCGGATCGAGGGGTTTAGAGCAGGCATATCGTCAACCGCGCATCGAACATGCGCAAAGCTTAACCCAAGAGGACATTCAGCGTTTCAGCAAGCTGGGAGGTGATTGCCAGTATGCAACGTACCCATGCGTACGTTCCTAGTATTTGTACACGTCTTCAACGTACCTTGGTTGTGACAGCACACGGGACGTCGGTTACGCAAAATTGCGCTTAGTTCGCCCCCTTCCTCTGTTACAAGGCGTCGCTAACTGCCTGACAAGGTTTTGAACGTGTCAAAGGTGCCTACGCATGGCGTACGCTGTTTGACAGCAGCGCAAAGTTAGCGAGAGGATCGGACTTCCCAGTGGAAGGTATCAATCCCTTGCTTGGGGTTTACGCCGCCGTATCACGACTCCGGCCTGACGGCACATCCCCTCATGAGCCTCAGGCCTGCTATGTAGCGCGCCTCGCCTTTTTATTCTTTACCAACCTTGAGGTCATAGGTTTCCGGAGCAAAACCTCACGCGGCAAGAAGCGCTGCACAGGATGACGCTCGGCGCAGCCTATGTGGCGTTCCAGGAGAAAGAGCTAGGGTCGATCAAGGTCGGGAAGCGTGTTGATCTGGTTCTGCTTGACCGAGATATCATCAAAGTGCCGCAAGGAGAAATCCTGATGACGAAGGTCAACGCGGCCATCATCGACGGGAAGATCACGTATGGGTGGATGTGAGGCAGGGTTCTTGTCTCGTTCGCCTGCATTGGATGGCAGTAGAATAGGCAGCTCTGGATAATATGGCATTTTTCGACTACGGTGGTGGGTAATATAGAACTGTGGATATAGACATATGTGTGTGACAATAGCGGTACTCATTGGAAGGTCCATGTATTGCAAGATTGCAGGAGGACCAACTACATGTGCGCGGATGAAGGAAAGTATCATCGCAACTCTCTGAGTGCGGTACCTCTATCTCTTTCCGACGCGGGTCGATCCACCCAACCCGCCATGTGGGAAAGATAAACTGCAGAAAACGGACCGGCAGGACCCAAAAGGGAGCACGGCCTGAAAATCGTTTCGGCTGTCTGAAGGGACTTATCGTCTCCTCTGTCATCCCTCCCCTCTTTCTCAAGACTGATGGCACGATTTCAAATTATTCGGCTACTCTGCAGTTTCAGCCTTCCATCTCGTCAGCCTGTCCCAAAGCTGTTCGCGGGATATGAAGAATTGATGCAACTTTTCAAGCCACCTCGAGCCAAGTCTGCATTCCAGAAGATCCTGAAACATTGCTGGAAACGGAGGGACATACGGTTGCCCGACGTCGGGCCGTCTGCAACCATCATTGCGACCGGATTTCTGCTTGTGCTGAGGTGTTGTCCTCAGGCTGGTAACTAGTACTGTTGGACGACCATGATGTCGTGAAAACGCGACTACAATGCGGCACTGGACGTCGTCCGCCATCACACCGGTGTTTCTCTCGCGGCACACACACAAAGGTCGATCAGGCGGGCTTTGCATGTGCATAGTTTATTGTTCAACATATATTAATTTGTTTCCAATACACGTAACGAGCTATTGTCGTGCCATTGGTTCTCCCGTCTCAAACAATATTTGTCGTGCTGGCGGTTAAGGCTGTGCTTAGACCGGGAGCAAGTTGGATCATATGGAGGCTGAGACGTGACACTACTTTTCTCGTCTATACTCCGTTTGGGGAGGCAATCTCTTAAAGGTCCTTGCTGGCAGCACACTCTGAGTCCTCTACCTCAACCAATCTCCCTATGACAGACGATGGCCCAACAAGCAACCGTTTCCACATTTTGGGTAACACCACAGCAGGCGGAACCCCCAGTGACACTCCAATCCTGGCCTCCTCTCTGGCCACCTAGATCCCGAGTCGGGATGCCCGGTGGTCCACCGATAGCCAACCCACACAGTCTTTTAGACTTCTTGTGCGCTCGTGGAGAGGACATAGTCGATTCTACACTGCACAGCAAACGTGGCAGTTCCACTACAAATAACCTCTGGCTTCAAACCGCTCCGCAACTCATTTACGGCAATTCAGCATGTTTCGACCAATTTGTGGTCGAACTGGCCCCTTGGCTGGCTGCCATCCCAGTCACGTCTCTGTGGAACGGGCCGCTGGAACCAGACCCGCTTCCTGCATGCTCTGACGAGGGAGACATTCACATTGCTCTTCAGAGGGACTTTTTGCCACGTGTACGAGCTGCGCTTAGGCTGCTGAGAAACCATTTTGCTCCCGGAACAGTGCACGGCGAGGTACCATCCGCTATTCCGGCGCCCTTCTCCAAGGTATCTATCACAGTCGATCAATGTCATGCCGGGTTCTATCTCCCTCACTGGGACAAGGCACTGCGTAACACCTCACCCCCTCACAAACCGGACCTCCTCGGTTATAGACTTGGAGATGGTGTGATGCCCCCGCCCGCTCAGCTTCTCGTTCCGCCCCAACATCCGCCCCAACGATTGGCCCAGACTTTGTTTCCCTGGCATAGCAACCGCCTCGCTGGAGAAACAAGCCTTCTTGGAAGTTTCGTTACGACGGTTCAGAACAAGTGAATGTTCTGCCCAACGTTATGGCCATCCTACAGACCGCTTACTACATGCGGCAAAGAGGCCCTCCCCAACACCCGCAGGTCCCGCCTTCTTCTCGACGAGGGAGCCGGTTTGGGTTTATTTGCACGGATCAGCATCTCCACGTACTTATCAAGGTTGCGGGGCGGCAAGGACAAGTGGCCGTACTCGTGTCACGACCCATATCAATGCGGCACGGTCTGAATGCAAACTCCCTTCCAGTTCTACTAAATTCACCACAACTTGTGACAGCACCTCTCGCACTGTTCATCCTCTGTCAGCCAGCTGCAGGCGACGAATGGTGGTGCCTCTGAGGTAGCAAGCCGAAGATCGACGCTCATACAGGTAACGTAGATCACCGGTTCGCGGGTCAACCCAGTCCCTGGGTCACTTTTGTCGTTACTATTGCGAAAAATTTTCTTTACACCATATCTTGCTTAAAATAATGTCATCTGCTTCAAGAGAGCGTAGAGTGCTGCTGGCGATCCAGGCAATCCGAACCAACCCAGAATTGTCCATTCGTCATGCTGCAAAACTGTACAACGTGCCCAATACGACGCTGCAGCGCAGGATGGGAGGAACAGCTTCCCAGGCAGATAGACGGAGCAAGCTGGCAAATCTGACCGTTGCAGAAGAGGAGGCGCTTGTCCAGTACATACTGGCACTGGATGCCAGAGGGTTTTCGCCCCGGAGAGCAGATGTGCGAGATATGGCTGATCTCCTGCTGGGCAAGCGGACGGGGAGAGGTGTTGGACAAAACTGGACCGACCGCTTCATTGCTCGACGACCAGAGCTGCAAACCCGCTTTTCTCACCCATATGACCACCAGCGAGCCCTGAAAGAAGATCCGGAGACTCTGGGTGCCTGGTTCCGCCTTGTTGCCAATATGCAAGCAAAGTATGGCATCCAAGACATCGATTTCTACAACTTCGACGAAACTGGCTTTGCCATGGGAATGATCCGAGCTGCCATGGTTGTGACACGCTCTGAGCGGACTGCCAGACCAAAGGCTATCCAGTCGGGCAATCGAGAATGGGCAACGGCCATCTGTTGCATTGCAGCAGACGGTCACATCGTCCCCCCATTTCTCTGTGTTGCCGGCCGGTATCATCTTGCCCCCTGGTACACAAGCGGCGCCATTCCAGCAAATTGGGTTGTCAAAACCACTGAAACTGGCTGGACAGACAATGCTACCGGTCTAGAATGGATTCGACACTTTGATCAGCATACCCGAATTCGTCAAACAGGTCGCTGGCGGATGCTGGTGCTCGACGGACATGAGAGTCATGTCAATGCTGAATTCAATGACTATTGCAAATGCAACGACATCATTCCAATCTGTTTACCAGCACACTCCTCTCATCTCACCCAGCCTCTCGATGTCAGCCTTTTCGGTCCTTTAAAGAAAGCATATGGCGCACAAATCTCACATCTCATCCAAGCCAGCATCACCCATGTCACCAAGGACGAGTTTTTCCCAGCATTTCGAGCGGCATTTGATAAAGTATTCACAACCCAAAACATCAAGAGCGGATTCCGTGGTGCTGGACTAGTGCCATTCGACCCAGATATAGTGATTTCAAAGCTGGATGTGCGTCTGCGAACGCCAACGTCTCCGGTGATCTCCGACTCGCCAGCCCAACCCTGGGTCTCTCAGACGCCCAAGACCGCTCATGAAGCACTCTCCCAGTCCACTCTCATCAAGGATCGCATCTCCAGACACCACAGCAGCTCTCCAACATCGATTTTGAACTCAGTTGATCACTTGGCAAAGGCGGCAGTTGCTATGACCCATCAGCTCACACTCCTCACCCGTGAGGTCAGCGCACTTTGACAAGCAAATGAGACTCTTTCAAAGCGACGACGGACAAAGCGAAAGCGACGACGGACAAAGCGAAAGCGACGACGAACAAAGCGAAAGCGACTCCAAGATTCTGGACCACTCACAGGCGAGATGGCCAGCCAGCTTCTGGTCGAAATGCGAGTTGTTGTACCAGATGGACAGGAGGAAGGTGTAGGAGAGGGACAGCCAAAGCGCCGGAGAACTGGTCCGCGCCTCTGCAGAATCTGTAGAACTGCTGGTCACAATGCTCGAAACTGTCCAGCAGCAGCTACTATTGACAGCGCACCCTCTGTGCCCACAGTTTGAGAAATAACATTGAATTTGCAGTGTTATCGCAATTTTACATGAGCGAGGTCAGGGAAAGTGACCTACAAACTGGGTTGACCCGCGAACCGGTGATCTACGTTATGTCAAACGCAGACACATTGTCTTGCGGGAGCTGACCACAGATACAGTTCAATGGATGGCCTTAGGTACTCGCATGTTGCTCAGATGGGGAGCCATTCCTGTTTGCCTGGCCATGTGGACAGCTTAATTTACCGATGCTTCTCGCCTCGAAAGTCTGGAGCGCAGTCAAATACTGTTAACGTAACAAGATAATAGAATCCAGTCAAATCTCTTTATTTGTGATATCTGGAGAAAGTTGCGAATGAAAGTTGCGAGGCAATTTGTACATAGCTTGCAGTCTCAACAACATAGATAGGTGGTCGTTACCAGGAAAGGAAGGCCAGGAAACAATCTGTCCTGTATTTGTCGAGACGATGAACGAGCGAGGGCCCAGAAATGACTTCAACAGTCTGTAGATGTAAGGTCAGAGCGGGAAACTTCTCCATTCAAGGTAAACATACCGTATTGTTCGACATTGGACATCATATTCCAGGTTTGCTGAATGCTGATACCCAACCATCGTTCAGCAGCTGGGCCATACATCGCACAATCGAAATCGATCACCACTACGTGAGTACCAGGTACGGGGCGGATGACAAAGTGTTCGGGTTTGATGTCCAGGTGAACCACACCTGCAGCAAGCACGTCGATCATGGCGCGGAGTGCCGCGTACTTGAGCTCTTTGGAAATTGGCATCCCCGCCAGGGATGCCCCATCCACGAACTCTGTGACCAGGATGGCATATCCCGCCACTAAGTTGCCTAACATGCTGTCAGGGGGGATATTCTGACGCCAGCCGTAACAACGAGGAAGGGATTCTGGATTGGTTTCGTAAGCGTGCCGAAACGCTGCGTAGACGGCTCGCTCAGTGCAGAACCTGTCTTCACCAGTGACCTCTTCATCATTGGGCGGCGGATACTGTCTTTCTATGAGCAAGTCCGACATGTCTATCGAGCGGTGACATTACTGCTTTAATAAAGACTTGTTTTCCCTCCAGTGAAGCCTTATAGGCGACATTGCCGTTGTCTGTGGCGGATAGAATCTTCACATCCGTCAGTTTATCTATATCTTCGTCACGTAGCTCCGGCAGCAGAGCGACTTCATCAAAATCTGGCGAAATATCTTCCGGAATGTGAACGGGAGGCTGATAGAACACGTGTAACGCTTCAGCCGGATCAGTAATGACTCTTATGCCAAAGTCGTCAAAAGGATTGTCTTCATGAGCGCCCTCTGCACATCCCTCCTCCATTTCCTTCGCTCGGGTCCTGGCACTGAACTCACTGATGCAACGAGGGGGCTTGTACGTTTCCCTAAAAAGCATTCTTGCGGATTGTCGAGACAAAATATTGTTCTTATAACTTGTCGCTATGACCCCGGCAACTATGAGTGGCTGTGAAGCAAACGGAGTCATTTGTTACTATGTCCACTTGCCGGAGGTCGGCAGAAGCTCCGAGGCTCGTCCCTTTTCTTCTAAAATCTATCTGTATGTATTCACATCTACAATTGCACCACTGGTGCATTGTCCTGTACAGTAACACCATGCCGGATCGCATGCAGCCGTTGTATCAGTAGGAAATGCGCTCTAGCTAAAAATCTACTGTACAGTTCCAAAGGTTCTTCATGAGAAGGAAGGTTGATGAAGTCGTTTTCGTGAAGATATATCAGCACTCCAATCGCCCACCATGCGCAGCTGAATTCGTAACCTGGGGGTAAGATATGTGGATCCATGTGAAGACCATACTGTTGGATGAGCTCGTCGAATTCAGGCACCTCGAAATCGAGCGACGAGCTCACGAGGATGCACCCCGCATAGGCCACACTCGCCGACAGCGTGATCTCGCTGAGGTGATTCGTCTCCCACCGTCCTGAGCTGTCGTCTACTTGATTCTCCTGGAAAGGATATGTATCGGGGGCCCTAGAGTCTTGCGCAACAATGCTCCAGCGGAAACTTGTTGCCACCCCGTGGTCGTTTAGGCCCCTATGATAGAAGGCGAGTCCTATCTTGATAGTCTGAGAGACTGTGAGTGGCACCCGCCTGAAGCAAATGTATCTCACCATGTTTTTACGGACTGTGTTTAGCTGCCACAAGCAGATGTGCAATGGGTCGCGTCTAAATAGATGAACTAGATCTGCGCGCTCCTTGTCGACTGTGATAAAAGTTGCCGTTTTCCCTTGTCGGTCAAGGCGACGGAGTTCATGCTGTTGAAGGCATAGTTAGACGAGTGCCATTGTCTGAACCTGTCATTGTCCTAACCTATCGTTGTGCTCTTTGATCAATTGTTGGCAGCCCTACCACGCTATGTCGGGCTGTCTGGAAAGACATTAGTTCACACCTGGCAGCCCTACTCATTTTGTTGTTTTCGCATGGATCAACGATGACCCGCCATGTTGTACAACACTCGATCTATTTTCTTTTGTGTAACTTTCCCGGGTGATGCAACCTAAATATCCAGATCAAGACAGCACGTTGACTAGTGATGCCCTGAACGCCGACTTGTTCGGGTACATTTCCTTACCATGCTTGGACTCGAGTCAGCGTCCTCCATCTTCTTCTACTACTTCGCTTCGTCGGGCTCATATCATGGAGAGATACCAAGAATTATTGTGATTAATTGTGATGTCTATGCACTGCGGAGTGCTCGCAATACCGAATGTTCGCGAGAGCTCAACCTCTTACGATAAGGATATAACGTCGAGCTCAGCCTGACTGTGGACGAGGCACATTACTCTTGATTTCACCCAAAGTAAGTTCATACATGTTGTTTGTCGCTTTATTAATATGTGATCCCATACAGGCTGCTCAGCCGTCAAAGCAATCAGAGACGATGCGCAGCTCTCTCTACCTCACCCGTTGTCTCCCTCTTGTCCTGACCACCTTCCTCTTCTGTTACTTCGCCCTTCAGTGCTCCTCCAACCTCCTACAACTCCATCCAATATTATCTCGACTCTCTGAACGGGCTGATGCTTTGCATGAAGCCCTCATATCCCCTCTGGCCTCCGATCGTCACCCTCCGCTACGACCCCTTGTCGGCGAGTCAAACGCGTCTGATGAGCTGGCGGTCAAGACCATCAAACACCTCTCCCATCTTCCCCCGGGGCTCGCAAATACCATCAACAGCTACGAAAACTACCACCACCTTGCCCTGGACGTCATCTTCAAGAAAGAGTCTCGCTACCTCCGGCAGTCACCCACGAAGATCGCCCTATCTCAGAAGCTGGGGTACGACAAACACTTTGATGCTGCACGCAAGGGAATAGCGGTGAATGCCAAGTTTGCGACTGAGGTGGCAAGACATGCGAGGGACGTGTACAAGGTGGGGGAAAGCGAGATCGGGGAAGAGGAGGACGCGGACTACCATTTGGTGGACCTCTCGTTCGGGCACTTGTCGAGGGATTGGTCCGCACAAGGAAAGCCGGAGAGGGATGCCGTATTCCCTCCTGTGCTCGAGGCGCTCTCACACTTCTTCGGTCCCCAAGCGAATGGATTGAGCAGTGGCGGGAAGCGGGTGCTCGTACCAGGGAGCGGGATGGGCAGGTTGGCGAGTGACATTGCTGATCTGGGTGAGCAAGCTTAGCCACGCTGTAGATTTGTAGACTGATGTTGGATATTTGACAGGATTCGACGTTACCGCCAATGAGCTCGATTACGGCTCCATCGTCACCTATCGTCTTCTAGTCAACAGCTCCCTCACTCCGTCACTACACACGCATTCGCTACACCCCTTCAGCACGAAATGGACACACCAAGCACTTCCCAACGCGCGCTTTTCGCGTATCACCTTCCCCGACCATCGACCTAACGTAGACGTCAAGCTGGTGGAGGGGGACTTCCTAGATGTGTTTGAACACGAAACAGGGGTGTTTGATGCTGTCGTGACCCTCTTTTTCATCGACATGAGCCAGAGCGTGATTGACTTCCTGGCAAACATCCATAGGCTGTTGAAGCCTAGAGGACTGTGGGTCAACCTCGGACGTGCGTTCACTCCTTATCCCATTCCCCCTGCAGCCGCTCATCACCACAGCGCTGAAATGGGGCACCCATGCGGACCTGCAACTCTCAGTGCTTGAAGTACTCGAGCTTGCTGAGCTGCTCGGGTTTCACGTCGATCACACTTCCCGGAAAAGCATCGACAGTGTATATGCAGCGCAACCGGACACGCTGTTGAAGTTCACTTATGGTGGGTGCACTGCTTGGATGGAGGGACAGTTCTAACGTCTTGACCCTGGCAGTAACACAGTTTTGGACGGCAACAAAGCGGATGTGAAGCGTATTCGGATGAGCGAGGGACACTTGTGCCGTATTATCAGTCGTCACTAACACTCGCAATGGGATATGAGAATGTGATGAGCTGCAGGTGAATTCTTTTCATATTCCGAGAGGTCCAACAGAGTCTCACACGTTCGATAAAGCACCAGCCCGCACTACTCGCTTCATAAGTGCGTCCGGTAAACTGCGGCTCCGTTCAAGGAATGAGGGAGGGACAGTCTTAGATGAAATCGCACCAGTGAGGTGGAAGGACACGGTCACGCCGGTCCAGAATGAGTGACCACAAATGACAATGCCATCAAGGCGTCAATTTCCAGACGTTGTATCGTCTGTGCTTGTAATACAATCCTTTCCCTATACAGTAGGTTCATTTGAACTGAGAGCGCTGCTTCTATTTGTGGAGGAACATGCATTTGGGTGGAGTATCAGAGATGACGGACTTGTTCCAGGTCAAAGACGGACGATCTCCTGAAGAGCTGAGTACGTCTCTTCTTCACTTGACAATCTCCACTTGGCATCACTCCCCTTTAAGCTCGTTGACACAGACTCAACATGTCTAAGCCCATTCAGCCGTCTACAAGGTTAATTAATCAATCAACATCCCATGCGTTGCGAAACCTGAGAACTCACTGAATAAGCCTCTCGTCCCCGCTCACGACGAGAATGAAATCAAAGTGTTCCTCTTCTTCCTCCAGGTCGGGGGACATGGGCAGGCTTTCCCCTTGTGGAAGAGGCGCGGATAGATCGTCTTCGCCAATATGTAGGATAGACCCGACGGCGGTGCTGCGGCTCACGTTCTTGGGCAAAACGAGGAAGGCCGTTGCGCCGGGGATGATGCGTAGACCGAATCTTTCACCGAGGCTGTCGAAGATGTGGTTCTGAGCCTCGGCCGATTGACGACGCGCCCACTGGAGGGCCGCTGTATCGGACAGGTCACCAGTGTAGTAACGCCAGAGTACAGACGCGCCGCGTTTCTCTATGAAGCTGTGTGGGGTGCGTTCGGCGAACTGGGAAAGCCAACGAGGGAGGAGAGCCAGCACAAACGAGAGCGCACGGCAGCATAAGGATGCGAATGTGTATATGGGTGTTCGGCAACAAAAGATGGACATCCAGGGGAGCGACGACGATGCGCATGCGTTGGTGAACGAGCGGACAATGGGGCGTCAAGATTAGTGGGGGGGATGAGGATGGGCCGACGACCGAGCGAGCCGGCATGATGGAGGTAGAGAACAACGATGGCGATGTATATCGCGAGGAACGGTAGGCATACCCGTGGAGCAGGCCGGCATGGGTGACAGGCGGAGGGGGGGAGGTGGTGGGCGATGGACAAGGGAGGGCGGTGTCCATAGACGGGGAGACAACATCGAGCATAACCGTCACCATAAGATCGGGAAGAGCACCAAGTTACATAAAATTAATTCAACGCAATCAATCAGCACTCCCCTCTGAAACGTAAAGCAATCCAACTCACATATTGCAAGATCTCCACACAGGGTCCCTGCCAGTCCTTGTTAAACCCAGGGACCATATCCCTCCACTGTTTCTCTCCGGGAGGACGGACGAAACAGCCGTTTTCCGCGCTGTGAGTTCGTTAGTTCTGGTCGCTCAGGTACGCGGGGAATGCGGGGACGTACCATAGGCCCAAGCGAGGCACGCGATTCCCGATAGCCTCCAAATCTGCTGTGCCCCTCCCACTGAGCACGTACACCCTGTTCCTCTCATCGCGCGTGACCTTTTCCAACAGCTCGAGCATCTCTTTGGGCGGGGAAAAGCCCTCGGTATGGATAAGGTACGCATTGGAGACGTGCCACAACGTCCCTTCCAGGTCGAGCAGGATCAGCCTGTCTCGGGCGATGTTGTACGCCCCTCTGACTTGCGCCACGTTCAGCTCTGGGATGGACTCAACAGGCCTGCGTCGGTGCTCCTCATGCACTCTCTCGCACCGGGAGACGAGGGAGGTGGCCCAGCTCTGGGCGGTCTGGGTGATCACGTGTTTGTGCAGGTCCTCCCAACGGGAAGCGGCTTCCGAGTCAGGCATCGTGAGCGCTGTGTAGATCGCACGCGCGGATTCGCGGTAGTCCCAGGGATTGATAGCGATACAGGAGCGGAATCCGCTGTAGCTGTATGTGCCTGTGAACTGCGGAGTATTAGCAAGGGCGTGAGCGGAGGCGAGGAAAGTGACACACCTCGCTCAAGACTAGAGGTCGTTTACGCTCTGTCTGGCACTCGACAAACTCATGCGAGCGGAGGGCCATTCCCTCCCTCAGACTGGTGACAAGGAACACGTCCGCCATGGTACAGAGCGCCAAGTATTGGGAGAACGTGAGCTCCTCGGTGTGGAGGAAGACGACGGGTTGATATGTCAAAGTTGAGAAGCGGCTGCTGATACGGGTGACGATCTCCGATACGTGGCCTTCCTGCTCATTTTCTTCTGTCGTGCTGAGGGCGACTTGGATAAGTACGACCTTTCCCTGCCACTCGGGGTGCTTGTCGAGGAACTCTTCGAAGGCAAGGAGTTTCTGTCTGACACCGGAGACAAAGTCGAGCTTGTCCCTGCCGACGATAAGTTTCAAGCCTGCATAGCGCTCAGCAAGCATGGAGCAGTACTCGAGCACTTCTGGATCGCGCTTTTTCTCCTCGAAGGCTTTGACATCAATACCGATAGGAAAGACGGAGACATCGACAAAGTGGGCGCCGTCGAGCTGGATGCCTTTTGGCACGCCCTCAGCTTGCAGAATCCGGGTGACGGTCTGCCGGAAATGGCGGGCAAAGTTGTGGGTCTGGAAACCGACGAGGTCGGCACCAAGTATGCCGCGGAGGAGCTCTTCGCGCACGGAGAGGCAGCGGAAGATCTCGGATGAGGGGAAGGCGACGTGATGGAAGTAGCCTATGGGTGCGTCTGGGAGTTGAGCACGCACGAGCTGGGGGACGAGGAACAGGTGGTAGTCATTTATCCATACTGGGATTGTTAGTGCGCGTCGCAGAACAAGGGAAGGAACGCACTAATATCGCCAGGCTTGTAGTTGCTCACGATCACTTCGGCAAACTTTTGGTTCACGGCTTTATACTGTGCATACGATGTGGAGGAATAGAACACTTTTGTCCTCGGTGCATCTGGGACGGCGTAGTGCAAGCTTGGCCAGAGGACCTGGGAGCAGTCAGCGCGTGTGTGAACAAAGGAAGGAGGGACTCACCCGCTTGCAAAACTCGTGATAGTACTTATCAAACTCGTCGTCTCCGAGCCAGACAACGGCACTCTCGCTCTCCTCACGCATGCGCAGATCAACTTCCCCCTTGAGCTCGTCGTCAAACCCGTCGGTCGCGGTGCCGAGTATGCCGACCCAGAGCTTTTCCTGCAACGGTCCGTCCGGCGCACTGACGCTGTGTACGGCATTCTGAAGGCCTACGTTTCCGTGCGGATTGTGGAGGATGTCAAATGCCTGCATGCGGGCGTTCCGTACGAGCGGGGTGGTAGGATGTGAGACGGAAGACGAGCGACGAACGGACTTGCGTGTCTGAGACCTGCTGAGGCCGTGCGAGGAGGGCTGTCTGCGGGGTTTGCGTTTCTCATCCTTCTTCACCGGGAGGATGTTGCCGAGCGTTTCCTGGAGACTTGAGAACCCACCTGCGAACGGGTTTGTGTTGGCTTCGAATCCTGGTGTTGCGAGAGGAGAACTGCTCTTGGACTGTAGATGTATGGTGTGAGTGGAGGTCAAAGAGAGAGTGTTGGAGATGGACGCACGGTGAGATCCTGCAACAAACTGACGGTAGACTCTTCGAATCTCAGCCTCTTCTGCGCTTGTTCAGGGGCAGGAGTTGTGCCTCCTACGCGTATGAGAGGGAGAACTGTTGTGCTAGCGTTTCGAATGAGATTCGCTTGTTGTGGAATGGGCGCCTGTGTGATGGCGGTTGAAGAGAGAGATACGGTGTCGGGGAGAAATATGCTGGCGATGATAAGCCTATGGTGTCGAAGTGTTGCCATGGAGGGGAGAGAGAGAGAGGTGAACAGTCAAGTGGGCAAGTGTGGTGGGTTTATATATCTCTCCCTCACAACACCCTCAAGGAATCGAACGTGTCACTCGTTCAATTTCCTTTTTAGGAAATCACTCTCACTTTCGATGACGTAGCCATTTCACCCACTTCGGCAATCTCCGTTCCTTTACAATCCCCCTTTTACACGTACCTTTATCAGTACTATCCCCATCCCACCACACCCGCTCTCCTCCGACCACACACCTCACAACCTAGCATGGGATATAGCACATTTCACACCTACGCATCCCAAACACTGTCTAATGTTCTTTGCATTGTCATTGTACATACACCCATACGGATCCATGTCACGAATCGTCCGCTGTTTGAACCCAACTGTCAGTTGTCAACTAGTGAGCGATCAAGGAAGCGTGAGGTATTTAGCAACCAAAAGCCCATAATCCGGTGTCCCCAAGCCAGTCACAGGATCCCAGCCCGGCACAGAGGTGAATCCCGCTGTCCCACATCCCTGGTTCCCGCCCGTCGTGATGTCGTTCAACATCCACGGGTTCGCATACAACGTCGGGTTGAGGAAACCGACAGGCTTCTTGCCGGCCGCCAAACGGGCATCATTGACCAGAGTAATGACCGAGCCGACCGTTGGAGAGGAGCAAGATGTGCCGTACACAAGGTCAAACTCACCATCAATTGCGATAACGTAGTTCGCGCCGTTAGCAGAGATATCCGGGAAGCCCCGCACCGTGCGAGAATTGTTGTACTGTGCTGCTGTGTAGGGGGGTGGATACTTCTCGAAGTACGAGTTGACCGCCGAGGCTTGATACGAAGGCATCGGGAAGACGTTGGAGAACCCGCCACCGGAGTAGATCACCGTCTCGCATGCCTCTTCCGCCTCGAACACGGTCCCATTCGGCTTGATTTGCGTAGCGCCGACCGAAGTAATATACGGGCATGTGCCGGGGAAAGAAGGATTGAACCGAGTCCCGCTTGCAGAGTAGGTCCCGTTGGCCGTCAGGCACTGTCCGTCATTACCGGCGACACCGTTGTCACCGCTGCTGTAGAGGACGGTCACACCTTGGAGGCCCAACTTGGCGTACTCAGAGCATTGCCTTTGTTCATAGCTGACCAGGGATAGGTCAGCTGCCAGGATCAGCTGTAGCCAAAGGTACTCACAACGGGGTCAGATCCGCCTCGTTGTAGGCATAAGAGGTCGAGAGGACGTATGTCGGGGCGTATGTCCCGCAGTTCTCGGTTCCCTCGTATCCTTGTTTCAGTTAGTACCAGGATGAAGCGGCGTACAAACTTCACCTACCGCCGCCGTTTGGATCAGGGTAAACACCATCCTGAGTCGGATCGTCGCCACCCTCGTAGGTGCAGTACGTGCCATCGATAGCATCAAGGAAGTTGTTGAACGAGGCGCCCTCGACGATGTCTCCAGCTTGGAAAAGTGTTGGGTTGAGCGGATAAACAAGCGCCATCGCGTACTGGAGGTCGAGGTCCGACTCTCCATTGTAGCCAAAGCCTTCCAACTCCGTCTGGGGTTCACCGCCATCGATACTGTCCAAAGTCGGACGTTGCCCAACGGCCTTGGCGAGGAACTGCTTGAAGAACATGTCGAGGTCGGTCGCGAGGTACGACTGCGGGGTGTACTCGACGATACCATACGAGTTTTTGGAGGTCGCTAACTGCAGGTCGAATGGCATCTTGTACAACGACTGCAAACAAATTGGGGTGATTTGGCTCCCACACTGCTCCAGTTCGGTGATGATGTTAGGGACGCTGAGGGAGGCGCCTTGCTTTGGCGTCGTTCCGATCCGTGGCTGGCCGATCGTCTTCGCAATACCTGGCTCAACGTCACGCTTTCGCTTTTCCTGGCGATGGGCATTAACTGGGGAATCGAAATGCACAGTAGGGGTAATGAAGTCGATGTGCTTGGATACATGTTCGGGAACAGAGTAGGAACCGCAGCCGAGATGAGGAGCACCGGAGGCGTGCTTGTAGATTCTGTACTTGGTATCAAGGAGCGTCTCAGCTTCGGTGACGGAGAGATTGGCAACTTGGAGCCACCCCAGGGAATCCGTTTGCTTGACGCGGGAACGGTCGATGCCTTCGTCTTCCAGCCAAGCAATGACGGTGTCAACAGTTTCCTTCGATGGAGCAAAAAACTGGGCGATCTGCTTAGCGGTCCAATGGTTGGCGAAGTCGGGCGACTCGGGGTCGGATACCTTGAGGAGCTCGTCGTAGGCGACATCGAGGTTCGACTGGGTCAGGGCAATACGCAAAGGCACACGCATGTCGGGGTGTGCATCGCTGTGCTCCTCCCATTGGTGGGGAAGGACAGAGCGGCGCTCATGAGTGCGCTTCACGGCGATGGAGGGAGAGGGGAGAGCGAAAGCGGCCCAAGGCACCGCAAGAAGGAGGAACCCAGCGAGCATGATAGGGGAGTGCCGCCTTGAGCAGAGCAGAGATCTGCTGACGGGGATCCGCAGGCATGTTCTCCCCAAGGCTATATAGGCCAGATAGGCATGAAACCGATTGCTGCATAAGTGACCGAGTTATACTTGAAACAGCCCGGCCAGCAAGCGCTTCTGCGAAGCATACTGGGCGATAGAATGTGTGCCTGTATGCTGTATGTGCCAGCGACTCGTCGAAGCGCGTGTAGCAACCAGCGAAAATGAATAACAGGTTCTTCATCAGTAGAAAACAGTTCCCCAACCGAAAGGTCGCAAGCATCGTTATCGTCCTTGCACTGTCCAAGATGACAAGCCGGTCAAAAATGTCCCCATCAGCTGTATATCACCTCATCACCGTGTCTTCTAGACAATTGACTCTGTGAAGAAGGTTCAAGACAAGCATATTGAGCAGAAGAGAGAGGAATGCGTGTTCGGTTGCGAGGCGACGCGTGAGCCATGTGTTACAGTACTGGTAATCTCGAACTTCAAAAATAGAATATCGAGTTCATGATTCTTATGTTCTTCTAAATGGCCTGACGAGTTCTTATCTTGCGAGTGTTCATCCCAAACTGAGGTATACCGGTTACTCGTTTTATCCACGCTGACTAACGTGACACGCCTTCAATTTTCACGGTCCCCATAGCTCGTTTCGTGTGCACGTGACTTGCCCTAGGTTCATAATAGAACACGCGATGCTCAGGACGCGCCCAGGTTGGCAAGCACTTCACCTTATTCCGTACCACCACCATCCCACATTCCCTCACTACAGTCTACCCCATACCACCTGCAGGCAACGCGCAACTCCCACTTCGATTAAACCGCTGCTTCAGACGCGCTCTTACGCTCGTGCGGCAACAGCTTTCGCATTGAAGACAATGGCTTCCGATGACGAGTTCGACATGGACGTGACTCTGGATGACGGAGATGAGAGTGACTTTGTGCCTGCTGCGAAGAAGGTGTGTAGAGTTTCTTTACGAAGATAGATGCTTACCCAGGGAGTAGAAAACAGCGCCTAAGGCAGCGCCTAAGCCCAAAGCAGCTCCAAAGCCAAAAGTAGACAGTTCCAAACCCAAGTCTGCCACCAAGCCGAAAGCAGCACCCAAGAAGAAGAAAGAACCGCTCCATCCGATAGACGAAAACCAAATGGACAGTATAGTGATGGATGAAGAGTTTGACTTCGGCCCGCCTGATCCTATCGAGGACGATATGCCTTCCGTGTCAGCACCCAAGCCAAAGCAGAAGAAGAACGCGTCAGAGATCTATGAGAGGGTGCGTCAACAGCCTTTACATGAGGAGGCCCTTCTGACCACTTGAAACAGCTGGATGCCGTCGAACACGTCCTCAAGAGGCCAGATTCGTATATCGGAAGCGTCGAGAGGAAAACAGACCTCATATGGGTGTTGGATCCTGAGACGAAGAGGATGGTAAACAGGTGCGTACAATCATGATGTGTTCATGAGTGACAACTCACGTGTCTATAGGAGTACCAAATTCGTGCCGGGCTTCTTCAAGATTGTGGATGAGATTCTGGTCAATGCAGCAGATCATAAGGTACGTGCGCTTGTTGCATACATGGTCGACAATGCTCACGCGATCGATGCGCACAGGTGAACGAAGCTGCCATGGATACTCTCAAAGTTGTCATCGATCGCGAGAAGAAGTCCATCAGCGTATACAACAACGGTGCCGGTATCCCAGTTGAGATGCACACCAAGGAAAACATGTACATCCCTCAGCTTATCTTTGGCAACCTCTTCTCCGGCTCGAACTACGACGACACCGAAAAGAAGCTGACCGGTGGTCGCAATGGCTTCGGAGCTAAGCTCGCCAACATCTACTCGCACGAGTTCACTGTAGAGACGGCGGACTCTAAGAACGGCAAGAAGTACAAACAGATGTGGAAAGACAACATGTCCATCTGCGGCAAGCCATCCATAACGAATTACAGCAAGTCCGATGGATGGACCAAAGTCTCGTTCACTCCTGATCTTGCCCGATTCGGAATGACTGAGATCGACGACGATACCTACGCCTTACTCTGCAAACGCGTTTACGATCTCGCCGGTACTATCAAGGACGTCAAGGTATTCCTGAACGACGAACGGCTCAGGATCAAAAACTTCAAGCAGTATATTGACCTGTACCTCAACTCGGTCGCTGAAGCAAATGTCGAGTCCGGCGCCACAGCACAGCCAAAGCAGACCGTCGTCTACGAGCAGCTCAACCCGAGGTGGGAGGTCGGGTTTGTCGTGTCCGACGGCCAGTTCCAGCAAGTCTCCTTCGCAAACTCCATCTCCACCATCAAGGGTGGAACACATGTAGAAACGATCGCGAGCCAAATCTCGAACAAACTTCTCACGGCAATCCAGAAGAAGAACAAGAGCGCACCAGTCAAGCCGTTCCAAATCAGAAACCATATGTGGCTCTTTGTCAACTGTCTGGTGGAGAACGCAGCGTTCGATAGTCAGACGAAGGACACACTGACGCTGAAGTCTACCAGCTTTGGAAGCAGGCCCACAATCACCGATGAATTCATGAAGAAAGGTAAGGTATATATTTGTCCTCGTTGCACATATACTGAACTGTGACCAGTCGCAAAGTCTGGAATCGTCGAGAATGTCCTCGAGTATGCCAAGTTCAAGGCAGATCAAGCTCACAAGAAGACGGACGGTACTAAGCGCTCTAGGCTGGTCGGTATGGCCAAGCTCGTTGACGCAAACAATGCGGGTGGTCGGAACGCCTCCAAGTGTTCTCTGATTCTTTGCGAAGGAGACTCTGCAAAGACGCTCGCCGAAGCTGGTCTGGCTGTTGTGGGCCGTGACAATTTTGGTATCTTTCCGCTTCGTGGTAAGCTTCTCAATGTCCGAGAAGCGAACCATGAGCAGATCATGAAAAACGCTGAAATCCAAGCCATCAAGAAGATCATGGGGCTCCAACACAATAAGGTGTATGATTCTGTCGACAGCCTCAGATATGGTAGCATAATGATCATGACTGATCAGGTAGGCTTTCGTGGTCTGCTTCGTTGAGCACAGACATAACGGACTTTTGTGTTACAGGATTTCGACGGCTCGCACATCAAGGGCCTTATTATCAACTTCCTCGACCACTTCTACCCGTCCCTGCTGAAAATTCCTGGCTTCTTGGTCGAGTTTATCACGCCAATTGTCCGTGTCACGCATAAACGCACCCGCAAACGCACGACCTTTTTCACTATGCCCGAGTATGAAGAATGGGCAGAACAGCATAAACACGACAAACATCTTTATGAAGACCCAAAGTACTTCAAGGGTCTGGGGACAAGTGGGCCTGAGGACGGCATGGAATATTTCGGAAATATGGAGACTCACTTGATACCCTTCCATCCAACACAAGAGGGTGAGCGGGAGCTGATCGACATGGCTTTCAGCAAGAAGAAAGTTGAAGCGCGAAAAGACTGGCTCAGAAACTTTAAGGTGCGTTAACATGCAGAAGTCACACCCTGCCTGACCTTGATCTGACACTTCTTTGCAGCCTGGAACGTACATGGACCACAGCGTGGACGAGATTACTTACGACGACTTCATCAACAAGGAGCTCATTCTATTCTCCATGGCCGACAATATTCGCTCCATTCCTTCCATGTGTGACGGTCTCAAGCCTGGTCACCGAAAGGTCCTCTTTGGTGTCTTCAAGCGCAATCTGAAGAATGAAATTAAGGTATGTTCTTTGGTATGAGTTTAGGATAGATGACGAAATACCTCATAGGTCGCACAATTGGCTGGGTATATTGGGGAACATACGGCGTATCATCATGGTGAACAGAGTCTCCATTCCACCATCATTGGCATGGCCCAGAACTTCGTTGGTGCGAATAACTTGAACTTGCTCATTCCATCCGGAGGCTTCGGTAGTCGTTCGATGGTGTGTTCCAACTTGGGTCAAATTGTTCGTCTCGCTGAAATAAGCACAGGGCGGCGAAGACGCTGCAGCCGCCCGTTATCTTAACACTAACTTGATGGCTATCACTCGTTCTGTCTTCCATTCCGCCGATGACAATATTCTCACCTATCTGATGGAGGATGGAAAACGCATCGAGCCAGAGTTCTACCTCCCCATCATCCCTATGGTTCTTGTAAATGGTAGCTCTGGAATCGGAACAGGTGCGTGAGTCAACTGACCTTGGTATATGTTCTTATTCAGAATAGGTTGGAGTACGAACATACCTAGCTTCAACCCCGTCGACATCGTAGCCAACATTCGCCGTTATATGAGACATGAGCCTCTGGAACCAATGTCGCCCTGGTACAGAAATTTCTTGGTATGCCGTGGGTGTTCGTAATAATTCTTGTATCCTCACATTCCATGCAGGGATCGTTCGAAAAAGTCAGCGAGGGCAAGTTTGTATGTCACGGCATAATCAAGAAAGTCGACGACTATAACGTCGAAATCACTGAGCTTCCTATTGGTCGATGGACCCAGAAGTACAAGGAAATGCTAGAATCATGGATCATGGGCGACGACAAGACAGCCGCCACCATCAAGGTCGGTGTAGCCCAGTGACACCGTCAGCGTCACTAACAGTTTCCGCAGGACTACAAGGAATACCATACCACCAGACATATCCGATTCACTGTTCAGCTCTCGGGAACCGAGATGCAGAAGGCCGAAGCAGAAGGACTGGAGAAGTATTTCAAACTCCTGGAAGCAATCTCCACCACGAACATGATGTGTTTTGATGCCGACGGGAAGATGAGAAAATTCAATTCTCCCGAAGATCTGATTGAGGACTTCTGTCCGCTCCGTCTGAAGTTTTATCAAAAGCGAAAAGTTCGATAATGTACCTTCCGATTCCTGCCATCGCGGGCTGACTTTGTGACAGGATTACCTCGCTGATCAATTGATGGTGGAACTGGAGAAACTTAACAATCAAGCTCGCTTCGTGAAGATGATTATTGATCGTGAATTGGTTATATCGAACAGGAAGAAGGTCGACATTGTGGCCGAACTTCGAAAAAAGGAGTTGAAGCCATTCCCCAAAGTTTCTAAAGCAAAGGAAGAGGGGGAGACGGAGGACGTCGTCGAAGAAGAAGAGCCCGGCAGCGTCACCGATTTTGACTATTTGCTTGGCATGGCTATCTACAGCCTGACGCAAGAAAGGGTGTGTTCTAATCTCTTGGTCCCCGCTGTCTGGTACTTATTTCCTCCCTAGATAAACCGGCTGTTGCTGGACTGCGAGAGGAAGGAAGGTGAGCTTAAGGCACTCCTCAAACAGAGTCCGCAAGATATCTGGAATAACGATCTCGACGTGTTCCTCGAGAAGTGGGAGAATCTGCTCGAGGATGATGTTGCAATGCAGAACAATGAGAACCGCAAGAAGAAGGGAAAGCAGGGCGCAACTATCCGGACCCGAAAGTCCGTTGGCAAGGGCAAGAAGCGCGCAGACGACCACTCGGATGATGACTTTATCCCAGCAAAAGCTCCATCCAAGCCTCGCAAGCCTGCCGCGCCTAAGCCCGCCGTAGCCAAGCCCACTGCACCACCGCCTAAGGCTGAGGAGATTTCCGATGATAGTCTCATGGACGTGGACTCTTCCCCCGTCGCTGCGAGGGCTGTTGGCAAAGGTAAAGGCAAGGCGGCCGTGAAGCGTGGATCGTACGTATCCTATTGTCGTACGCCGAGCGGTGCTAATCCAATTTAGATCGGATGTCGAGGATGATGACAGCATGTATATCAAGCCCGCTCCGAAGAAGCCGAAGACTGCCACAAATAGCTCTATCAACGATTTCTTCGACAAGGCGCCGACTGCACCCAGAAAAACAGCGGCGACAAAGAAACCGGCGGCCAAGCCGAAAAAGGCCGAATCGGACAGGGAGGACGACTTCGCCTCTACTGCAAGTCAGGCTGCGCGACCTCAGCGGGCTGCGAGAACTGCAGCACCGAAATATGTAGAGCTAGATGAGGACGATGAAGATGAGGACAAGCGCTCTGTGTTTGAAATCTCAGACGACGAGTAGACGCGTTGGGTGCCTTTCGAGTTCCATATGTTTCAGTGTTTGCATTTTGAGCCCTACATGGTGCGTTTACAATCCTTTGTGTATGATTAGCTGTCATTGCTGCTTAATGTACCTTGCCAAGTCGATCCCTGCATTGCATTCCTAAGAAACCATTATGCAATAGAGATCTCCTACTTGCTGCCGAGCTGCCCCTTTCCGGGGCGCGTTTGTTCAGCCCATTCAGAAACTTGCGAATGGACAATCAGGTACCCGCCAAAAAAGGTGATACCGGGCGTCGCCGGGCCACCACAGAGCCTCTTCTCTTTTACGTAGTTACACGTAAAGTGCTTCTAGATAGCAGAAGCAGAACTGATTAGGAAGATAGACGCAGGAGATAATCGCGCGACAGAGATCTGTGCGTCAGGGGCAGTTATCTCCCGCCACCCATCACCGGTTCCGCTGACACACCAAGGCACTTACATATTAATTTTCGACGCATTCCGGTCCTCATCGGCCGGAAGACGGATGGTGGTGACGGGCCGGTGGATCCATCGTAATCAGATAATCCTTGTGGAAGTTTGTCTCTCACCCCTCCGCCGCCAAGCACAGGGAGCGCTCAAGCACATATTGAAAATCGTACGATTTTTTGGCGATTCCGGTCGGCGTTTTCGGGAAAAGCGCGCGTGCCGCCGGTCTGGACTGAATTACAATGAGACACTCGGAGGGGAGACTAATGATAGTGGAGGACCAAACGGGTATCTTCCTGTTTTCCGTCCCGAAGCAATGCTCTTGCGGTGCATCTGTGCCACTTTTCTCATGTCATCAAGAGAGAGGAACTGATCCTCCTCCTCCCGAGGAAGGGAGCAGGAATTCCACCGATAGTGACCGTGTCCATGAGGGTTTTTCGCTCACAGCCACCACAAGGGATGCCGGTTTGCGGCGTTCGATCACCCAGTGGGAACCCTTTGTGGCTTCCGGGGACGAGTGTACGTGTTCTCTCTCATCTCTCCCCTTCAGTGCAACTAGCACTCATGCGAACTTCCTACTTTCAGTGTCGGACATTTGCGGTCCTTCAAGCCTCCGCCTGCACCGGGCGCTGACGTGCTTTGCCTCCACAAGTGAATGTGCCCTGCTTCGTGGAAGATGCTGACCGTAACCGGTCAAGGGCCGGGCGCTGTCGCAGATCCTCAAGATTTCCTCCTGCTTCGGAACAAGAAATTTTAGCTCCCATCGGATAAGATAGAGCGAAACGGATCTAATTCTAGGGCGTCCACACTTCCACTGTCAATTGTTGTGGATATGGGAAATGTGTACGAATGATCGAAGGTACTCATATCGCTTCCCTGATGCTTCTGCTCCTTGTGGACGCACCGTGAACAGCGTGTGACGAATTTGGGTGTTTGGGATGATACATGGACTCGCCCTCCCTCCGTAAGTTTCCTTTCCGAAATCGCTTGTTCCTGCCCCTTACGGATCTTTGGGGCTCCAATCCGAACTATTCAACACGTGCAATAGGTCACCATAATGAACGAATCTCTGCCTCTCCGTAACCCATTCCGAGGCACCTGCAACACATAAAGAGCCGTTTCGTTCTGCAGCAAGGTAGTCCAGGTCCTACCCCCTGTTCCTCTCCGCTGGTCTGGTTTACGCCCACATTCGCCCAGGTCAAGTGAGTACCCCATCCATGCCATTCACTCGTTCCAAGGGCGCTGAAAGCAGTCCTCCCTTGATCGTCAGTCACGAGCTTCACGATCACGCTTATCAGAAATGCCGCACAATAACAACTTCCTCGACTTGCACGACAAGTTGGAGATCTCCCACGGTGCGCAGCGTCGATCATGCTTCTCCCTGAACATTGCCTGACACCCTTTCTCGCACAGCCCTCTTATCATCTGTCTGCGCGTTCTTCCTCGTCCCTGCCGCCCTCATTACCGCTCGGTACATGCGCAACAACCCAGTGTGGTACAAGATTCATTGGATCCTCAATGTCGCCGTGACCCTGATCATAACGGCATGCTTCGTCATGGGTGTCAAGTCGATCAACGGGAATCAGATCGGCGGGAAGAAGTCGGACACTCACCACCGGTTCGGTCTCGTCGCTTTCTTCCTTGTCGTCACGCAGACCCTCATAGGCATCGCCGTCCACTTCACCCGCGCTGGTGGACCCCCTCCCGGTCTTCCCGCGCCTGGCAAGCACTGGTCTCGCTACTTCCACGCGTTCATGGGCATTTGCACCGCAGGAACACTGTTCGCAGCGATCTACAGCGGAATGCACGAATGGACAAAGTCCTCGGATGACGGCACTGTCACTCCCACGGCCATACGCGTTGTATTCTGGATCCTGCTTGGCGCTATCATCATCCCCGCGTACTTCCTCGGCTTCTACTTCCGTCGGGGCACCTGGAAGGGAAAGGGGCCTGAGACGAAGGCTGCCGCGGATGCGTCGGAAGAGTCTGTCGAAGAGAAGGACAGGGATGCTATCGAAGCTGCTTAGTGTTGATTTGGTTCTGCAATTGTGATCAAAATGTAATGGTATTCATGTTGCCGAGGAGAGCGGACATATGCATGTGCCTTTGAAGACAGGAAAAAGCCAATGTATATCGTTGCAGTACCTAAAGAAACCTCACGCAGATGAGGGTCTTCGCCATTGGTTCGCCTCACACGAGTCGTCCGAGGTATGCCACGGTATTTTGATTGTTATTTACCGTATTTGGGGCCGACCAAGCATCTCGATTGTGCAAGAAACCTACCAAAGGGAGAGCACGGTCTGCATTTGCCTTTTTTGGTTTCAAGGCGTCCGAGGCACGGCGCGGCGTTGAAACGTCTCGAATACCCGTACAAAAAAAGAATTGTCCAACTCCTCGGTGTTCATGAACATTCATGCTCAAGACAACGGACCAGAATGAATAAGAGAGGGTCATTTAGACGCACCAGAGTTCGTACACATAATGTATACATAGCTGACCTTGCTTTTGAATTAATATATATATGGACTCTGTTTCGGACGGCTTGTACCTCCCGATGATGGCATCCGCTGGGACTGTCTTCATGATGTTGTCTCTGAATAGGCTCAGCCGCCAACTTCCGATGGCATGCCTAAAGTGTTATTTCGACGCGACTTGCTGGGACCTGGAGCGTTGGTAGAGCCCCCAAGTACACGATCCAAGTCGGGCTGTGGACACGCGTTGCCGTCAAGCTCCTTGAGCTTGTCGAAGGCGTCTCTCAACCGAATCAGAAGCAACGAGCCTCTGTATGATTAAAGGTGAGTCAAAATTCCATCTGCTCAAAATTTCACAGGGCTAAAAATCTATACCGCATAGAGCGGACCAGCATCTGCGTTACTGCCCGGAACCCGATAATACAGCCGGGCGCCCCTGGATTCTCATGGAGCATATTCCTGGAGAACGCCTCGACCGGGGCTTCGACAATCTCGGAGTCAAGACTCAGAGCGAGATTATAGAGCAGTTGGCGATCATTCAGGCAAACTTGTTCGGTTTGCGGCCCAGTTATATTGGATCCATATTTCGGGGACTTGGAGAGAATGCCCTGAGGCTGGCATGTCGGTATCGTGGCACTGGCTCGATCCTCCCGAGACGACTGAGTTCTGAGTTTCGAACGTACCCCAGATTCGACGAGGGGAAGCTATGCCATCGGCCCACTCGACGATCGCGTCTCCCTGGAGAATGAAGATACGAGGGCATCAAGCCAACAGGGACCATTCAGCTCGGAACGCGAACTGCTCGAAGCGTACGCCTGCGTGTGGGGCCCGGACGGCCGACTGATATCTCAAGCCACGATTCTGCGCGGCTATAATGATCCACGCCAGATGCATTCCGGCTTGGATGGAGGTCGCATGTTTGCTTTCAGGCATGGTGACCTATTGGGCGAAAATTTGTCTTGCATCCGATGGGCAAACTGTATGTCCTGGGCTGAAAGTGGACCGGTTTCGTGCCCCTCTCATATGCAGCGCGGACGCCCTATATCTTCGTTCGGTGCGACCCAAGCTGATCGCAATCAACTTCAAACTCCAGCTCGGTCAAACGAGCAGCAAGAGCGTGAAGATTTGTCCTCGATCGAATGGGGAGAACGACCGAAAGAGCACCACATGAGTAAAGGGGGAAGACGATTGGAAGACGCAGCCAGGACGAGATGACCGGCGAGGGAGTGCGAGAGCGAGGATCTTGGCCGAGGATCACCAACGTTTCCTCTCACACGTCGATCAGAAGCAGCCTGGTCGATACCTGAACGACACTCTGACGATCACATGCCTTCGAGCGCAGTATCGTGTAAAGTTGGCGTCCCTAGACTGGCGCTGTATGGCAGAGTTTTGGGGCGATGTCGAGGCAAGGACCATTATAGAAGTCCCCGGCGAGCCACCGGGCAATATTGAGGTCTGGCTTCGCCGGATTTCTACACTTGGTAAGGGATAAACGCACAAGGTTTCGAGGGGTGCTTCTGCCTAGTCAAGCCGAGCCACTTCTTCTGAGAATACGACTGGATAGACTGGCCTTTCCGCTTGAGGCACTGAAGAGTCACTGCATAGTTTATTCGGGCAAGGTGTTGATCGGACGATAAGTCCGAGGGGTGTCACGGATCATCTGCGGCTCGAGAGGGTTTTCACCCATGCGGATGCTTGTTTCCCCGAAGCCGGGAGCAACTGTGTTTGCTGCCATGGAGAATTGTGGCTGAATGGGAACCCTTTGCGGATACATCCACAGAGGGAATAACACGCTACATATTGTCTTGACTCTGCTCGTTTCCCGGAATACATGTACTTGTCCCCCTTCTAGTTCATCTATGCCCAACACGCTGGCGTACCGCCCTAATTTGATTGTGCAGGTTTCCGATCACGTTCTCACTCGTACTCAATTCTGTAGCAGAGCAAATTGAACAGAATCGGCACTGGCCCAATCCACGACCATCCCCAGCCAGAGCAGCATCCCTACGTCGGAGTTTGCCTGTCCAAAATTCGGATCAGTCGTCTTGAAATCATCACGAATTTGGTGCGACCGAGTTAAACGTTCTCGACCCCAGCAAACAGTGAATGCAAGTTAGCCCACCCACCCGAAATTTTGCCGCACAGTCCCCTTCGCTCTCGTCGTCCAATGTCCAAAGCTGCCATGCTAGATGCACCCCCACGCCTCCGACCGCACAGAAGTAGGGAAGACCCTGTGCATGTCGCACTCCTACCCTTAACAGGCAGGAGACGAAGAAGACGGAGAAGATCGAAAGGACGGGTTTGACGTAGGAATCGAATAGAAGCGCTGTCGATTTTACATTGGCGATAAGGTCGTCTTTCTTGTCCTACAGGTTAACTGTGAGCACAACTTGGTTTGAAAAGACGAAACATTAACACCGGGATGGGCAGGATAGGAAGCTTACTTGGAGGGCGTAAATCGTATCGTACACGATTGTCCATCTGGCTCCCTATCAGCTTCTGGCCGTGTCAAGAAAATACCGAGCGTACGCCGCCGCCCCAGCTAGCATAATTCCCACGAGCAACCAATCACTCTTGTCGGCAATGGAGACCCACGCAACGACCCAACCCCAGTTCATGGCCAACCCTTCATATCCATGGCCGCTTAGCATCACAGAAACGGAGAAGTATTATGCAGGACGTACCAAGCCATGCCTGGGGCCTGTATGTAACCCGCTTGAGCAGAGGGTATATGAGATGGACGGGGGCAAGGCCAACTATGGTAGTCCAGAATCTGCCAGAGGGTGCATCATTTAATCACATAACTGGCGGAGAAGTGGACGAGACGCCTCATACCCCAGAGATGGAGCAAAACTGAACAAGGCCAAAGAGAGCAAGAGCTGAAAGCCCCGAAAAAGCCAGGCGGTGGAAAGCGAGACCCGTCCGGACGGCAAAGGGCGATTGCGGCAGCGTTCTTTAGGAGCAAAGATATGAATGAACAGCCGAGTTGATTGGAAACAGCCGAGTTGATTGGATGTAGATGACGTACCGACTTTCCGGTCAAAGTCCACGTCGCAGATGTCGTTCCACGTGCATACGAGGCCGTGCACAAGTACATTGCCGAGGAAGAACCATGTACTGAGATAGAGGAATCGGGCTAGAGAAAGTTGGAGTTCTTTGCCCAGCATGGTTATCGCCCAGACTACCAGGGTGATTCAGCGGTGGAAGCCTCCAAAAGGTGCAAGGAAGGAGAAAGATGTAGAGGACGTGGACTTACGGCTCGGCCAGACCATCAGCAATGTTCCCCGCCCAAACTTGTGCAATCTCGCCAGCTCCCATAGTCCCTGACGTGTTTCTCTGTTCATGTCGTTCGCCTTGGTCTGTGGTAGGGAGGATTCGATGACGGGGCAACTTTCGATCTGTACAGATTTATATTTTATCTGTTACAAAAGACATGTGTCCGTGACGCGTACCGGATCGCGGCGACATCTGAAAACAAATTACACACGCGTTGCAGCGGGAATTACTGGCAGGGGCCGATGGAAGGAATGATGCTCGATCTACTTGGAGAACGGACGCCATCCGAGTATTGTGCGCGAAGAAAAGTGCAGATCTGGTATCAAAGATCAACACGCGTAGTCCGACAGAGCGAATGAGGCAATTCAACCTGTATTCCTGGCCACTGAAAGTTGGAAGTATCCGAGGATCAACTGTGACCGTAAGATGATTGGGGAAGCCATGAACGAGCGTCTGTTGACGCCTTCTGGCAGACACTAATCTGCTTGGCTGGCACTGACATGTGCGTACTTGGGAAGTTGTGATCTGATTGCGCTATCCAGAGATGTTTGCGTCAGTATGTATTTCGGGCATGACCAGAAGCAGCAAGGTGGGCAGGCGGTCCAAGCTGCGCTTAAACTTACCACCACCAGGAAATGCCCAACGTGAGCACTTGAGCCACTTTCACGCTACACTCGACCAACCAAACCCATCAACCTGATGTAAACCAACAACCGGGCCCAGGACAGCATGATAGTCGCTGGATCGGGAATGCCTAGGGGAGAGGTGGTGTTCTTCGTACAACTGTAAGTAGCCGTGAGTAATACATTATCCTAACGCCGTTGCAAAAGCGCATAAACTCCATAATTTGATACATATCAAGCGAGTGTAATGTGTTCTGTTAATGAGCAGGAGTCAACGAGTGCAGATTCATCACCACCCCCCCAATTTCACTATAATCCATACCAATGGTGCTTTCAAACGCCTGCCTCTCACCTGCTGCTCTCCGCAGGTGGAGCAGTATGCGTGAGGTGAGCACGGAATGGATCGCTCGCTGCATGGCGAGCAGCAGATTGAATAGGTCGGCCTACAATCAAGAATTCAGCAAAGGTCTCAGAGAGAAGGGAGAATTGCGAATAATTTCTAATTGTCATGTGAAGGGGGATCACGGAAGGCGCATGGGGGCAGGTAATAGGGAGACGCACAGTAGTCGTTAGAAGTACAACCATATTCAACACGGAGAACACTGGTTATGCCTCTCCCGTTAGCACATGAGGAACAGGGAAAGGGAGATCGCATACAGGCGAGAATCAAGGAGAACATGAGACCTTCTTCGGCTGTGAATCCTCAATGACCCCCGCTATCAAAGACCACGTACCATCTCTATACAACACCGTCGATAAGTTTGCGGAGCTTCCTGTGCGGTCTATATTTCCCATGTCCCTCTCAGCAAAGCCTTTCTCCGCCATAGATTCACGAGATCCTCACAGTAATCGATTCCCTTGATAAACCTTGCGCCAAATATTACTGCAATATTATGATGACCAGGTTGCCATTAGTCGTCAAGTGTAGGAAAGAACAGGACGCACAAGTATCATAGACTGTCATGACGACGTAGCCTATGTACAAGCCGTCGCTGGCGCCGGCAAGGAAACATCTTGACAGCGCAGGGTCCGGTATCGGAGTGACTATAGGAGAACAGACGAGCCAGTCAGCCTCCACTTGTTCCCATTCATAAGTATGTTGCTCCAAAGCATTGGAATATCTTCGCAAGGCGAAGGATTCCTCATCTTAAAGAAGCGGATAGACGTACAAATCAGCGTGGGCATCACTCTTCCTAGGGCGACGAAAGTGATAACCCAGGTAGCCGTCCAGACCAGCGCCAACCCGGCAAGCCAGAAATGGAAACGCTCCCAAATGATCCAGGTACGAATGGCGAGAATAACTATGGAATATCATGATCTGTTGGCAAACGGTTTTGAGGAAGGGGGGTGTACGGTCTGCGACGCATGTGCCAACCATGAACGACCCTATTAGACGGCATAAATAAGAGGACGAGGTGCAAACAGTGCGGTGGCGGAGAAGGGATGCCAAAAATAGAAAGGAGGGGAATGAGCTTACAAGCAGTCCAGTTGTAGTACTGAACACATGTCTCCACCGAGAGTCCGTATCCAATCTGTCCTGTTCGTGTCAACAAACAATTATTGATCAGCCATTGCACTCGTGTGGCTCAATGACGAAAGGAGAGCGTTTGACTAACTCGTGAGAAAGACAGGGATATCCACCAAGGCAAGGTACCGGGTGATAATGTACAGCAGCTTGCCCAAGTTCCACAATGATTGCGGACTCCAGATATACTTAAGTTCGAGTTCAAGGGTGAGAATCCAGTCGTAGAGCTGTTCAAACGGAGAGAGGTTAGTACTTGTGCTCAGCAGGGAAGTGCACGGAGCTAGGAGAAAGGATAGAAAGAGGATCAAGATCTTTAGAATCAAAGTGTGTATTGAGGTAGAAAGGGGATCAGAAAAACTTACGATCAAGGTCAAACTCGAGACTAAACAACTGAAATGTCAAAGCCCTGTTCAAGCCAACCAGACGATCGGATACGTCCCTACCAGCGCAGTACTTTTGGCAAAATCCACGGGGATGCCCAAGAAAAGGATTAGGGCGATCGTTTTCTTAAATGTAGAAACGTACGTACATTAGCATAGCTCGCATGGAGGGCATATTGTTTGAGGGTGGGGAGAGGGATACCTCCCGCGGTAGGGGTGGACATAGAGGGCGAACGATGAACGACCAGTTAGTTGATCTCTGGAGATATAAGCCAAGGGGAACAGAAGCTGGTAAGAAACCGAAGGGCTGCAAAGAGAGCTCGCAATGTCTTCCTGTGAACGGCAGATGGGGCGAGTCACAGCAGTGGCCGTTGAGGGTGTGAGTAGTCAACAATTGGGGAGTGAAGCATAGCCCGTGGGTATTGAAAGGGTGGAGAGATGACGGGCGAACCATGGCAAGATGAGGGGATAGGCTGACATGGCAAGATACGGACCGGGACGGCCGTATCGACGTCTAAGGATGAGCGGTTATCAGAGCGGCCAGGCTTCCTCCTAGCTCAGACATCATCTTCTGGCATTCCATCCTGAGCGGGCGGCAGAGCACAGCACATAGATCAGTAAAGAAGAACATCCTGGTACCGGTGATGACTAGCCATGGTACGACGAGTAAAGGATTCATGCGGTTGTCGAGGAATAGAGGATCATGTCTACAGGCACAAGTAGTATGCCCATATTATTGTCGGTGCCGCCCACTCAGAAGCGTTAAGCTGCTGGTGTGATAGCCAGTAAGCGAATTGAGGAGACATGGAGAAATGCGTGAGCTGGCGGCTGGATCATTGTAGTCCACTCATGTGGGTTCAGCCAACATCAGTGTGCGAAGAATTCGATATCACGTCGCCTGAAATGGCTTTGCATCAGATCCTGCCCGAAGCGGAGAAGATCGAGGCAAGGCGAGGGGCTAATAATGACTAGCGAAGACAGGGTGAGATCTAGCTGTGCACCTAGAAGAGACCGGCCGAACGAACGCTGAGGGATGTGATTGTGCAATTTTGACCTGGAGGAGGTGGTGGCCGCAAGTTGGTCAACGATCCAGTCCCTGGCCAATAAAGCATCCCCTGGTGACAGCCGCCCCCTGGTTCCGTCACAATCTCCCCCATCTGATTGAATACCAAGATCAGGTAATCTGAGCTGCAGTGTCGGTCGTTCCAAGTTGAAAATAAATATACCCACCATAGGCAAAGTGGACTCAAATTCGCAGGTTGAATAAATCTAGAGTGAAATTGAGCCGGCTTTACTACTGGTTGATTGTTGGGTCGACTTGCAATTGCTTTTCTGTTGCGCCGCATAATATGCACTCCCTGAAACTTGCAAATTCAAGGCCCGCTTTACCGCAGGATATCGTGGGATTGGTCTAGAAAGTGCTCATATTCGGGCCATCTCCCATACTCCTACATATGTTCAGTCAAAACATAAAAGGATCGACAATCACGTGCAACATGTGATAGCACAGCTCACGTATATCCGAGGATCAACAAGCGGGTAATTCGAAGCAAGCATCTTCTGGATGCATGTCTGGCTGGCATTGTTAGTATTTCCGAGGTTCTGAGGCGATTAGTCTCCCGAAATGTTTACATCAGGACATCTGGGTTGAGCAATGTAGGGAGAGAATATCGTGGGCAGATGGAAGAGGTGCCCCTGCACCTCTGCATTCCTTTCCTGGCTAGTCAGGACTGAATCTCGCCGCTAGTGCCCCACTTGAGCGCTTGAGCCCGAGGCGAATCAAGTATATCAGGAACTCAACCAATAACCGACAAGATGGCATGACAGCGAGGTGGCTGATCCTCGCATCATCGTATCTTCGATGTCTTCCTTTGCGACGGCCGAGCTATTCTTGTTCGGGGTACACGCGTACTGTGTTCTGAGCTCTGTTGATGTATGTGTGTATAGCATGGCTCCAGTGAACCAAGCAACCCCTCCTCCATTGATCGCCTCCCCCTAACATTGAATGTGCGAAGGCCGCGGTCTGATCTTCCACCAAAATTGCCACACTTCAGGCAGAGAGGGTAGGGGTGACTTCAGCTCTTTTCCTGTCCAGTCCTCAGCATAGTTATATGTAACTCATCGATTTATACTCGCCTGCCTTGCTAGTCGCTGTTCCTTCACCTTCAACTATCCCTGCCTAAGGATCCTCTATCAACATGGAGCCCGCTGAAGCACTTCCGTTCCCCCAACCGCCCATCCCTGCCAATCTCAACCCAGAGGCAATCGCGCAACACTGGCTCAACGGGCTAAACACAGCAATACGCGGCGTCTCGGTGGCCGGGCCTTCCATCACCATAACCACAGTCTCAGAAGCTGTCTCTCAACTCTTTTCCGATCAGCCAAAGGCTTTCTGGAAAGATCATCTCGCTCTTTCTTTGGACTTGCGCACCATGCACGGACATACCCAAATAATCACTCTCCTCCTCCGCTGCTGTTCCCCAGAAGCAGGCATGCACATCGGCAGCTTTGCCATGCCCGGGGAAGGAGAAGGACCAAGGGCGGCATGGGTGCAGCCCGCATCCGGGTATGTCGAGCTCTGGTTCGGCTTCCAAACGAGAGTAGGGGAGTGTAAAGGCGTCGCGAAACTCATACCTACACTACCACCGGGGCAAGCAGAGTTGAAGTGGAAGGCCTGGACGGTGTATACGGAACTGGTGTCATTGCGAGACCTTCCGTTCGATAGGACCAGGTTGGAGAAGAGGTCGGCCACTGAGGGGTTGGCTGGTCCAAGAGATGTGGATGTTGTTGTGCTGGGCGCAGGGCAGTCTGGGTGTACGTGCCCTTTTCCTTTCTTTTCCTTTGATATATTGCACCCTCCTCCTGTGGGTTGTTTTCAGTTTGTGCCAGGTCAGAAGTTTCGTCGCCCACCTTGTTCACGTTTTCTTCCCCGCCTCTCTCCCCCCTCAATACAAACGTCGTGATGGGATCACTGATCTCCATCCAACACAGTACAAGTGGCCGCTCACCTCCTCGCACTGGGTCTCAGCGTCCTCGTCGTGGAGCGCGAAGCCCAAGTCGGGAACCAGTGGGATGGTCACTATGCGGCGCTGAAGGTGCACGTAACAAAATGGTTCTGTGCGTCATTTTCTCCAGCTTGATCCGCCAGTCAGCTCGACAGGTGGTTAAGAATGTTCATGCTGACTTGTTACGGGACATATAGATCAATTTCCGTATCTGAATTTCCCGCCGGAAATGCCAACGTACCCATCAGGGGAAGAAATGGCCTCGTACCTCAGGTTGTATGCAAGCAAGCTTCATCTTCCTGTTCGCACCGCCACCCAGGTCCTCTCTGCCTCTTTCCACTTTATCCATTCGGCGTCTACAGACGGAAAATGGGAATTGTCGATGAAGCCGTCCGATGGCCCCGCAGAAAATTGGACCTGTCGGTATCTTGTGAGCGCTACGGGTCTGTCAGGGAAGGTGCCTAACATGCCCGAAATTCCCGCCCGGGTGAGTGACAAACATTCCGGTTTGGCCTATTTTCCACTGATGAGCCCTTGTTATGAATGCGTGGATGCGTGCAGGACGAGTATAAGGGCATCGTGCTCCACTCTTCCCAGTTCAGAACAGGTGAAGGATGGGCAGGGAAGAAGGCTATTGTTGTCGGGACGGGCTGCTCGGGTACGCTTACCTTTGCTCTCCGATGGAGCATGTGTTCACGTCCCATGAATCCAGGGCATGATATCGCTTCTGAGGTACGTGTTTGAACTACCCAATACGGCGCTCAACCACAACTGAAGCCGTAAATAGCTGTACAGATGTGGTGCTAAGGTTACACTTCACCAACGTAGCCCCACTATGGTCCTTCCTCCCACATTTGTGCATATCACCCAGGATAGTGCGTCTGCTTTGGTCCCTGTACGGGCAGGATCCCGCTAATACAACCTCTTTATCATAGGCATATTCACCCCCGATGCCGATCTTGACGCCGCAGACCGCGAGTGGAACGCCACGCCCCTCCAAGTTGTGGCCCGCCTTGGGCCGCTACTCCCTACAGGGGACAAGGCCAAGTACGCTCTCGTCGCGCCGTCTTTTAGTGTCGAATTTCAGAGCTCATGGGTTGTAGGGAAATTGAGAACGGCTTGGTGAAGCGAGGGTTCCAGATGAAGGAAATCGACTTTACGAAGGCGGTGTATGAGCGAATCGGTGAGCTCCTAGTGTTGGGGCATGTGGATGATAACATGGGGGCTCAATAAGAGACAGGTGGACTGTACATTGATGTTGGGGCATCGGAACTGTGAGTCCATCCTGGTCCACCCAGTAGCTCCCATTTTATCTTTGTTTGCGTTCAGCATCGTGGATGGAAAGGTACGACATCCATATGCCTACCATCATTTTGAGAGCTGAATGATAGTTCAATAGATTGCGATCAAATCTGGCATGCCAATCGTTTCCTACACGCCCACAGGCTTGGCGTTTGCAGACGGCACAACGCTGGACGCCAACTTGATCGTGTTCGCCACTGGGTATGCTCTGTTCAGCACCGGTGTGTGCGGCAACGCGAAGTCTAATCAAAGGATGTCAGATTCAACATCTCTGTAATGCGTAGCACCATTGTCTCCATTGTGGGCTCAGATATTGGCTCGACGCTGAAGTCACCTTGGGGCTTGGACAGGGAGGGACATCTCCTGGGCGTCGGGAAGTTTAGCGGACGTGCGTCTGCTTCTGAGCAACCAACTTGTAACCTGCTGATGTTGTTATAGATCCGAATATCTACTACATGGCCGGTGCGTGAATTCTCCCGCTGGTCGAAATTTGAGTTACTGATAGCGTTTGATATCAGGCGAAGCACAAATGTCTAGGACCTGTAAGCAACCATTTTAATGCCCCAAAAGCAGCTCTGAGATATTTGGCTTGTCCCCTTACGTTGCAGCCGCTAAACTGGTCGCCTTGCAACTGACATTGGCGAAACAGGGATTGCTGAACCGAGTTGATATTCCCTATGATATCGCTACCCCTGCGTAGAAAACACGAGAAGCATTTCGTTTGAGAGGCGATGTCATTTTCATAGTATAACCCGAGAATAAGTGCAGTCTTCTAGAGAATCCATCGCGCACCAATTGCGAAACACGGTGAAACGCAAGCGTACATCCGGTCTCGAATTTGTTGGAAGTCGTGGTTCCGAAAATATGTCGAAGGAAAGTTGTCAGGCAGCAATGGCAAACCGAGATTGACGAGCTTGTGGTGATCATTCCCACATGGCCAATGACTCTGGCGGGATACTAAAGACATTCTAATTCACGAGAAAGTTGTCATGAATAGTACAAACTTCCCGCAAATGCAAACCGCCTTGTATGGACTATGGAGGCGTTTGCTATGCCGTGATGGCTACTATCAGTGACTTGGTGGTCCGCTTGTGGGTAGTCTGGTTGCTTTCATTGAGCTTTAGAAATACGCAGTACCAGACCCTGCTCTCCTCCTGCTCCACCGTCCGTTTGTGGTCGAACGCTGAGGGTGCGGTATGTTCCCATTCACCGACACGAACATCCGACAGAACCGGAGTGAAGACGAACTGCCGGACGAGCTTGCTCAGTAGGCACTTCGGTAGTTCTGAATTAGCATGGGCTGTGAAGTCGATGTTTGGAGACTATAGTACCTTCATCTCGACCAATGCTGGGTGAATTCGAAATTAACGCGCTGCGGCATGATACGCTACCAAAGGTAAGAAGCGTACCAAAGCTCTTCCCTAGACAAATCCTGGTTTATGCAAATGTTCGACGCTTGTCAGCACCCTCTTAAGAAGCAGGTGGAGCCGCACCTCGGCCCGTCCCCGAAAGTCAGGACTTTCTGATGGCCCCTTCCGCTGATCGAGCTAGCGGACTCCGCAAGGCCATTCTTTGTCTCGTCTTTTCCCCCTTCCAGCCATCGCTCCGGCCTAAACTCTCTTGCGTTCGGACCCCATAACTTAGAGGAGGTGTTGATCGCTTCAACGGGTATTATGATATGAGTCCCAGCGGGACTGTTATCCATCGAGGTGTGTCCGTGTTTGACGGAAAATCAACTGTGATACTCCAGTTCTCGGAGAGTGGGAGTGTCGTATGACACCCTGCCTGTGACCATCCCTTCAGGAATTCAATTTCCCCGGGAAAAAGGAAACACACACTGTCCTGTTGATTTCCGCAGCAGCACTATGGAGCCTCAACACCTCCCATACTACTGCGTCCATGTAGGGCATCCTATGCGGATGCCTGAGGTCATACAGCGAGGGACCAAGGGGGAACGTGAGGAGCTCCGATCGGAGCTGCGATTGAGAGAAAGGGTTGTTGGCTAATTCATAGAGACACCACTGGACATTCAGGCGCCTAGTATTACAAATTGGCAAGGTAGAAGCAAAGTACTCACGGAGAGGGCACCTGTGAAGGAGGCAGCATTAGAATGAGCGTGAAACGAGACGGGAATGAGACTGTCGACATACTGCCTGTGGTTTCATATGCTGCCAGAAAGAGGACTTTGAACTGTAGAGACGGAGTTACCTCTGTGCAAGCTACATCTGCCGTCTACCTCACCTGAATCGCAATCTCTTTCTCAGTGAGCTTGCCCCCATTATGTCTCCCTGTGGGACTCTCATTAGATAAGTATACATCGGTTGCAGAGCTTCCTTGCTGATATGCTCGGCCATTGTCCCCTCTCCTTTCTCTATCCTCTCGCCTTTCTCCTCTCGCAGAGGCACTGACTTGTCCCTAGCCGAATCTCTCGCAAAGTCCTCCACCAACTCACTCAACGTTCGGTCAATCTTCCAAAGAGCTCTATTCCTTTTCGTCGGTAACATCATTACCACTGGAAGCACCTGGTGCAAGCAGTGCACCAGAAGGGAGAGGGGATTGTCGTTCGCCGTGCCCCACGCATCGAAGGCCGCCGCTATGTGGAGATTTTGGCCGGAGAGGGAGCGAAGTGGAAGGGAGAGCACGGTCTGTGCTATTCCATCCTAGGAAAAGACACGAGATTAGTTTGAGAAGAGAGGGGAGCCAAGTGAGAAAGTCGCGTACGAGGGAAAAAGCGTTGGTCCTACCGGTGCGAACTCAGTACATGGCTGAGATGGTATAAACAAAACCGCACGTCTTAGTAATGTTCAGCCTTATTTGTGCTTCCTCCCCATCCAGCTCTGTCTCCCAAATCTTAGCAACCTATGAGAACTCAGCATCATTCTTGGTGTTTCATACCTTGCTTCAAAAGCCGCCCTTTTACGCACCTCATCAGCCAGCTTCAAGAAGCACTCGGCATACCCATCCAGCAGTCGAGGAGAGAATGCCCGAAGAAGTATTTGTCGGTCTCTGTTTATTTCAATTCGTCATTTTCAGCATACAGACGAAATGGGAAGAACGAACCGCTTATGTGCGCTACCTGCATACAACGTGCTCAGGTCAGGGTGCAAATGCTAACGAGGAAAGGAAAAGAACGGGGACGAGAACGACGCATACCGTCGTGTGCCAGGATGCCTTCCCCAACCTAAACGCGCCCCCATAGAGACAAGGTCAGTACGGGCTAGGAGAGGT